CCATAGCTTCATTCTCCTGCATGAAGACAGTTAAGTCCTTTTATGTTCTGACCAATGGGAGAAGCATCTTCCTGCAGTCTGACTTCCTTTGTACAGGAATGCAGGACCCAGACACCACACGGGCAGAGAGAGAGGCTTATAGATCTTTATTTCCATAACAGAGCATACCGCCTGGCACATAAGGGTAATTAGCAAATGCCTGTTGAATGACAGAATGACATCATGCATACACAGTGATTCAGCTTTGACCCACAGCTTTTCTTGCATCTGAGGGTCCACGTGACTATGTGAAAATGCACAATTCCAAACTTTCCACCTCTAATCACCTCAACTCTGGTGTCTAAGCAAATCGGTATGACGGAATTTGGGAGGTGATGTGGATTATCTAAGAAGGGGAAGAAAAACATGGCTTCCTGTCTCTGTGCCTGGACAACAAACTATCTGCCAAAGCTGCATGAACCACATCAAGCTCACAATAGTGGGTTCCTTGATCTGCCCTGGGCCTGGCCCTTCGTATATGTATTAACTACAATGGTAGAGAAACTGAGGCACAACTGACTTATTCAAGATCACAAGTTTAAAGACGGACAGGAATCATCTTAAGTTCTTAGTCAAGTCTCCTTAATTTCAAAATTCATACTCTTCCCACTGCATCACACTGCATTTCAAGACACACTAAAATAGACAGTTATATAAAGATAGCTATATCATGATGTTAAAGCTACACACAATCTAAATAGCATTTAATCATAATTACTAATCTCATTAAATGCAATTCTTAACTTGCACTAACATGATTATTTTTAGGTCTTTCTTAATTCAGATAATCAGTCTGTTATTTGAATAGTAAAATACACTTTTACCATGTGGGATGATATTTTATCAGCGTTCAGTGATATGTCTGAATTAATCAGCAATTTGCCAAAAACAAAACTAACAGCCCACCAGATTTACTAATGACCTACAAAATGTGTGGATGCTTCTTTTCCATATGCAAATTAGCGGCTCTGGCTGCTTTTTGAGGTGCTCTGTGCCCCCAGCCCCTGAGAGGTAGCACACTGTCAATATGATTCAATAGCTGTCCTAAATGTTTATCTTTGATTTGCATTTAACTTCCTGTGTTAACAGCTCTAATCTAACTGTGCAGGCCTAAGGCAAATAAACATAACAACCACAGAAGATTTTTACATTATTGGTGCAGAGAGTAATGACAGGACATGCAGGAGGTATAACATCATGCAACTAAAGCAAAGTGTAGTTGTCTGTCTGGAATAGTTAAGAAGGTCTGGCTGAGATGGTGCATTTGTGAAGTCCTTCCTGCTACTGATAAGCTAAGCACTTTACAGCAAGGACTAATACACTGACCTAGTTCAACGGGAGAACTGTTTCAGAGTGTATGAAAATACCTATTATACTGCACGTCATCTTCAAACTAAATAAATAGAAAAGATTTCAGTATAGACACTGAACAAAACTCTATTTTCTGCTCCGCACTTCTCAGAGACTTCACACACACACCACCCCCACACTTCAGTGTCCAGATGAGCTAAGGTGTATTGCAGATCACAAAGAGACTAGGAACAGGCAGGGAAAAGAAAGTGTGGCTCAAGAGCCACATGATCCACAATTCACCCTTTCATTCACATTCCCACTCTGGATTATGGTGTATTGCCTGCCATCAGAATCATAGAATTAATAACAGAAGACCAGAAGCTGACAACTGCAGAGAGCTTTGATTTTCAACTCCGTCTCACATGCCCCTCCAATATCCTAACACGGCCATGTTATGGGCTGTGCCCAAGTCTCTGATGGTGTCTAGGACCTTCTGTGGTTCCTTCATGTCTTGAAAGGGTGGAAAATAGCCTGTAAAAGGTGCTTTTATCCAGGTATACACTCTAGTTAATTATCTTTGGTCTATCTGAATAACCTTTAACATGCCTCTTCTTCTGTTTAGTCTCCAGTGATAGGTTAACACCTTATGCTACCACTTAAATATCATAACTGATTTCCTTTCTTAACCTACACACAATATTAACAAATTTATCCACAGATGTAAACATCCAGAACATTCTAGAATAAACATCTAGAAATTGATCAACATGGTTGCTCATGGACACTAACTTCAAAGATCAGTTTGCCCTGTATTTTGTACAAAATGACTTGGATTTATCCTGAGGGTAATTTTTTAAATTAAGATTCTTGAATTTGATTAACTTTGGTGGAATACAGAATAATAAAAAATAATACTACTTTTGGTTTTGTTGGTCTTTGTTGAATGTTGGAAAAATTATTATATCTAATATTTTGATCAGAATTAGTAAAAATCTCTAACCATCTGTGGGAACAAACTTCATAGATTCACTTTGGAATTCAAATGAATGATCTAAGAAATTTTTATAAGAACAATTCATAATCTTTTTGTAATATATGCTTTATGTAATTTACTAGACAACATATTTTTCAGCATATCAGGACTATAAATAAAAAAAGATTTCTTAGAGTTTCTGTCTTTTATTTCAATCACACATCATGGAGTACAAATCATTTAGTAATACTGTGTATCGTACTGAGGCTGTTAGGTCATGAGGGTAGGTTTCATAATATGTGAATTATTGGTACATTAAACATGGCTAACAAATTTATTTGTTGCACCAAGTTTAAATTAGCATGGCCATTTGAAATTCAAAAATTGAAATGAATAATCCATCATATTTGTTCAATAAACCATTGAGCACAAAAATGAAAGGAAAGAAATGGTTTTTTTAAAATCCTTCTATGTATATATACATTTAACTAATATATCTCTTATCAGTTTTTCTACTGAGAAGTATTTAAAATTTATTGGTACCTTAATGGCAGGTGAACTAAAAATATTGACAAGTGTCAAATATTTCTAACTTTTACTAACACACAGGAATCTTTCATAACACACATATATGTACAAGAACAAATATGCTTTCTTGTTTAAATATACATTAAATGTAGTCACACAAATATCTATTCATTCTAAAATACTGATGGGATCACTGTCAGCTGAAAGTGAGAGATTTATTTCTAATAATCTACCTTCAAGAATTTCATGTTATTTAGCCAACATTCCAGAAATATGTACATCACCTAACTCATTTCTTAATTGCAACTATGTTCACATAAACCCATTACAGAACTGTAAGAAAAATATACACATTATCATTGTACAATTGACATAAAAGATATATCAACAAATTTCTATCATTGAGGCAAATTTCAAGTTTTGATCACTGACTGTTAATATATACATATCTAGGTGAAATAACAGTATTATAGCTAGTTATAATTTGGATTTCCTTTGCTTTCTAGCATATGACTTAAATGAGATTATTTTAACATATATAAGTAACAATGAGATAGATGTCTGGATGCACTTGATTTATTAACCTCACTTTTATAAAATTCCCTTTATACTTTAACAAAACCAATGGGTTTCTAACAAAAGTTTTATATCACAATATAAAAGATTAAATCTTCTTCCTCTCTTTTAATGTAAACTTAATGAAGCCTACACAACATTTTTACATAGTTAGAATAAATTAATTTTTAAATACACACACTGTTTCTTATGTGTATGTATGTGAATGTCTGTGTTCATTGAATATATTTATTCAGCTTCATCAGTCCATCTAATAATATCAGACGTAGGAGCCCATTTTCCATTCAACTGGAAAAACAAAATGTTTTAGAGATGAGGTAAAGAGTAATAAGGACTACTTTTTGTTTAACTTACATTGCCCTTTAAATCATATTGCACAAACACGAGTAAAAATAGAAAAATTCTAACTTTATAAACTGTAGCACAGCATGTCATGTTTTCACTAGGAAATAGTCAAGCTGGATGGTATAAGTGAAAGTAGTTTTGCACTTTCTCGACTACACATATGAAAGAAGAAAATCTTAATACAACAGACCACTTCCAATAAAACCAGGTTTTCAACCAAAGGCAACTCCTTTCTTTTTCCCAATGCCTACTAAATATTACAATTCTTTCATTCTTTTTCAAAAACAGAAGATTATTGGTTGCCCTTTACTGTTTAATCTTATCCTAGATCAAATAATTCCAAACCCAGCTTGTTAATACACAAAGGATAAATAAAGATCTAAGACTTTGTTTATTCAAAGTTCAGTGAAGAAAAACAGCCTCCAACCAAAAAGTTTATACAGGCACATGGGAAGAAAGTACCAATGATCATATAATCTAAAATAAATGGAATTTCCTCAAAGAATACAGGAGTCAAATAAAGTCCCCAAATTTTGAGTTCTCCCTTTACAAATACATTAGGATTAACTCCATTGACAAAAGTAACCTAATCATTTCCAGTAATACCAAATACCATCTCAACTAGTTCATAAAATTTGAAAGCACTGAGATGGCAAATGACAGTGACCCAAAATTCTATTATTTCAGCCCAGTTCACTAACTGATAGGTATTACTTTATCACCCTGAAATGCAACAATGCAACAACAATGTACACTAGAGAAAATGAAGCATTCCACCAGTTCTTTTAGTAGAAAAAAAGGGCTCTGTAAAAAATGAAGACCATGAATAAGTCTGCCATATTCAACAAAGAAAAATCATTTGTAAAAATCATTCCAAACTCTACATACAACTTGCTAATCACTAGTTTAAAAGATACTTCCCCATCAAGAATGTTTTTCAACAGAGATTTATCATCTTTTAAAAAGAAAGATTATAAAAATTGAATCCTTTAATAATCACACAACTCTCTTCATAGCTCAGAAGAAGAGTCAATTTATTAAGACAGATTATTAACATATTTGGAAAGTCGAGGTGATTTATTCTTTTACCCCAATATCTAAAAATTGATACAGGTTCCACACACAACACACACACACATATTCTAACACATGCCACACCGAGGCAAAACAGCAAGCTTGGAAATACAAAATGTCTATATAATAAATTTCTTTCATTGATCACATTTGTATTTTATCATTGTCTTACCTCAATGATTTTGTCATGAATCTCCAGGCCATCGGCTCTGTCAGCAGGTCCATTTTCCAGAATTTTTGACACATAAATTCCTTCTGTTGATTTTTTTTCCTGATTATTCTATAAAAAATATAGTCATCAGCGTAAAGAACGATCTAAGCAAAATTTGAAGTGGATAAAGGACAATTTGCTGGATGTAACATTACTAATCCTTATAGATGCAACATCCTTTCTTAATTGGGGATTTGGCACTGAATTTTAATTTACTTAATACCAACTAGTCATTCAGCAAGATGGAAGCTTTAAGGAATGATGTCATCTCTGACAAGATTATCTATTTACCTCACATGTTTGAGTATTCAAAGCTCTGAGGAAAAGTATGTCTCATGACTTCAGCTGGTTCCCAGAGTATTACTTCTACAGCATCTTACTTCTAAAGAGATGCAGCAAATAAAAGTTATAAAGTTAAAGAGAAAAAGCATATCCAGCCTCACTACGTAATTGGTTTGAGAGCTTCCATGTTTTGAAAACATAATCTAACCTCATGTGACAGATTTGATACTATAGCTCTGACTGTGTCTCTTCACAGGGAAGACTAGGAGCTTGATCAAGTGGAAAATCCCAAAAGATCAACTCTAACCTGCAAGAAAACTCATTCAGGGCTAATCTTTACACAGTTCCCATTGCAATCTGCCTAATGATTAGTTAAACCTCAAACATGTAGCCAATAGGGCACAAATAGAATATGTAGCTAGTTACAGGACACCAATTATATTGCAATACATGTAGGGAAAATGTCAACATCCTATAATAACCCATCATTGAATTTTATTTATTTATTTATTTATTTTTATTAAATAATAAATTTTATTTTTATATTCCCCCATACAACTGCACATGCCCCATTCTGACCCCAATCCCTCCCCTCCCGGTATCATTGAATTTTAAATGGCATTTTACTTCATGGCAGTTTAAGTAAAATCATTTCTCATTAATTAGCCTTTCTTAACATGAATTAAGGAACTCTTAAAAATGTCCAAAGTTATCTAAATGTGAAATGCCTAACTATTATTCATTAAAAAATTCCTAGGAGAAAAGAAAACAAAACTGATACCATGAAAAGACTTCTACCTTTTATAATAAATAACAATTGTTCTAGAAACTGAACTATAACAGCCTTAGTTGCCAGGTTTTCAACATACTAAACACAAAGGGGAAATACATCATCCCATCCTGACCTATACATACATTTGGAGAACATCTGTAAGGCAGGATGCAGAAATTTCATGGTAGTTTATTGGGAAAACTAAAGAACATGGCTTTAAAAAAAAAGCTTCACCTTTTTCTAGTTATGGTAGAAAATTAAGTTGATGTGGTATTTAAGGATATAAAAGAACTCTGCAACTATAGTATTTAGTATAAGTTTATATCATGTGTTTTGAAAGCAACTGGCATCAATGTAGAAAGTATTACTCAGGTGAATCATTGAAGTCAATGATATTCAAAATATTATACAATATTATTCTCTATGTAATTGTAAAAATAATGATCCCTTACTTCAGCTTGTTTTTACTATTCCCTCAATCATTCAACATATATTATGAGCTGCCTGAACTGTGTCAGCATCTGAAAACTGACCAAATTGACTAATAAATTGAAGGTGAAACAGGTAATACAACTGCCTAATATTATGAAATAGAAATCCTCATAACCCATTATTGTGAAAGAAGTTTATTTAAGAAATTTCCCACAGGGTTAAAAATGTAGATAAAATGTGACGTGTACTCTCTTTAAAAAAAAATAGCCAAGAGAAAAGGGTTCTAGTCTCTTTTTGCTTTATTTTTCTTAAAAAAAAAAAGTGGGTCTATTTATATAGTGATCTATATGCATTAAGGATGCAGGTATTTAATCACAAGCATAATTTTAAAGATTAAACCACTTATTTTTCTTAATGAAAAAATCCACAAATGAAAGCATTCTTCTATCATTGCATAAGCCAGAAGGAAGCCATACATTAACAAAATGGGTTACCTGATTTGGTCGCCCTCCTATTATATTGAATCCCAAGGTGTCATTTTCTCTTTCTAACACAATGATGAATGGCTTATGTTCTCCACCCTAGAAGAAAAAAGATAACCAACTAAATAAAAATATAAAAGAAAAAAAATGCTACACTATGTTATGCTGCACATAAATTAACATTTGAAAAGAGAAAAAAATCTCAAAATTAAAGATGGTTCAATTGGGGAGGTTAATTCTTCCTGTGCAGGTGAGAAAAATAACTTCTCTAAAATGACTAAATGAGTTTACATTTTTATGCTTGCAGTTATCTTTTATTCTAATGCAACATCTAATTTTCATTTGTAGTGTGAAACAGATTCCCAGTTTAACCCTGCAGTATTTTCATTTTACCCCAACATTGCAAAAGAGTTAAAGAATCTGAGAATTATTGCTCTGTAAAATTTTCACTTTGGAATGTCTTAAGGCATTTAGGAAATAGTGACTTATTTATATATTTCTTTCACCAGTAATGTTTGGGTTGCCATTGTTATGCAGAATCCAGTTGGTAACAGTAATATAAATTCTAAAATACTATTCTTATTTTATTTTGCCTAATTTCTGCAGAATTTTTTAAAAGATAGGATTTGTGCCAAGTAAAACAGTGTATGCCTTTCCTGGTGGCCAAATAGGAGTTAAATAAGAATTACATGTACAACCTGTTTATTAGTAAAGACCAACTTAAATATGAGACAGAATAGCGCCGGACTAGCCATTTTATTCGTGATGATAGATATTATTAACTATCCAAGGGAAGTTTCTATTTGGAAATTACTTTTGATTTATAGAATTCCATATACATCACCACCATAACCATCATCATCTGCCCGGGAGCTTTCCAGTTGGTGCAAACAGCGGCCCCTACTGGCAGTGGGAAAACATGTCTTAGGAGCATAGAGAGGCTTTTGATAGTTTGCAAATCATTGGGCAAATTTTCCTCACTTCTCAAAACCACAGCTTGACTTGTTGCACGCGCTTCTCCCTCAAAGAATTCTAGGTGTTTCTCCTTTCCATCAACCGCTGCTTCCCTAGGGTCTTGAAACCTGGATTTATACAGGTTCTACAGGGCATAGTTCTGTGCTTTCTGGATCTTCCCATTTCGTAAATTTACCAGCACCTAAGTAAAATAGAGGAAGAATGGTAGATAGTTTCGTCTTTTGCTAAGCTTTGTGTTTGCATTTATCAGAGGAGAATGTTTTCAGCCGCTCAACTTGGATTGTCTGTTCTAGGTTCCAGCGCAGAAGCTTCTAAACTTGATGCCTGAGCTGGAGGCAGTGCAAAGCGTCGCAAATGGAAATAGTCCTCAGTTGCTCCTCCCCAGGAGTGCCGAGGAATAAAAACAGTTCCTTGAATGGAGTGCAAGTTCTGCTAAATCCCTGCTCTCCATGGCAGCGACCAAAAATGTCAAACACTGAGCCGAAGTCCTCCAGAAGAGAAGTAACAGCTTTATAAACAAGTCTCTTCACATGGGATGCTGCAAAGAGGCTTGTTTATTCCGTCTGAAAGCAAGCAGTCCACACTGGAGCAAGCAGCTTCGAAAAAAGAAGAAAAACAGCCGCTGCCTGGGGGCTCCCAGAGCTAGTTTGACCTTAGATGGACGGCGGCGCTCAGACTTGGCTCCGAAAGTCACACCACCACCGCACCCCCGCCGCCTCCACAAATAACAAGATCTAGGGGCAGGGGAGGATTTAATTTAGGGGTGAGGGTGATTTAAAAAGAACTCTGCAGGTATGAAATAATAACCCCACATCTTGATCTCTCAGCTCTTGAGGTCGTCTTCATCCCCCACATCCCTAATGGTCCCTGCACTGAGCTGATATAGACACCCAACCCTGGTGGGGCAGAGAAACTAAGTCATCGAAAGCTAAAAATATTTCCAGGCGTGGGACTGACAAGGCTGAGGATGCTGGCAGCGGCGGGCGGGCTCGGCAGGGTCGGAGAAGTCCAGGCTTCCTACCCCTCTTGATTTGCTTCAGTCACAAGCGAAAGAATAATAATAATAATAAATACAGAGGGAAGAAGGGTGAAAGATGAGGAGCAAAGATCTGGGTGGCAAAGTGATGTTTCCTAATTCCTACTTTTCCGTGGAAAAGTTGGAAATGCGTCCGTTTAACTCTTTCCCATTCTAAGGCAAGTGGAAGCAGGAAAAGCCTCAACGGCCGTGCCACCCTGACTAGGGCCGGCGGACGCTCCCTGTGGCAGGATCAGGACAGAAGTCACCTCAGGGAATCCTGAAGTGTCAGACAGAACGGCTCCGATTTCCACCCCGATCGATCACCCTCCCCCGGCGTCCATTCCCTCTGCGCTTACCCGGCCGTGGCCGCCGCCCAGGTCCCTGGCGAAGTTGCGGACGTGAGCCATGTACTGAGCGAACTTCTCCTGGTACCTGCGGACCGTGAGCTGCACCTCGCCCTGCAGCACCCAGAGCTGCGCCAGCAGCGCCTTCTCGCGCCGCCTCCAGGCGAGGACGCCAGGCCCCGGCCCGCTCCCGCCGCCGCCGCCCGGCAGCCCCCCGCCCGCGCCCCTGCGGTCTCCCGGCGGGGCTCCGCCGCCCTCCCGCGCGGGCACGTCCCCGCGGCGGCAATCGCCGGGTCCCGAGACGCCGCCCTGGAGGCAGGGGCCAGGGCGAAAGTCGCAGCGCTCGACGTGCGCGGCCAGCTCGCGCAGCGGGACGGAGAGGCTGCAGCCGCGCGCGCGGTAATCGCAATGGATGCGCAGCTTCTGGATGAGGCTGCGCAGAGGCAGCACCCGGTACAGTTCGCCCGGCGCCAGGAGCTGGCACTGCAGCGGGCACCGGCGCCTCCGCGCTGCCCAGGGCAGCAGGCAGCTGGCGCAGAAGACGTGGCCGCAAGGCGTGCACAGGGGCTCCTCCAGCACCTGGCCGCACAACTTGCACTCGAAATCCGGGTCCACGGCTTCAGCGAAACGCTCCAGGGCAAAACCCATGGTGGGGGTGGGACTGGGGGTGGGGGTAGGGTGGGGGGAGGGGACCCGCTGAGCGGAGTTCACTTTCTTCGAGTTCCCCAGCCTCCCCGGGGCTGCCCTGGGACTGCGCTCCCGCTGCAGCCCTGGCCGGTCAAAGTGGGGGCGGAGAAGGGTACGGGGTGGTGATCTCAGAGTTCGTTGGGCTTGAACTTTGCAGGCTCTGGCTAGGGCCCCGACTTCGCCGTTTTGACGCTGGTAGACTCCACCTCGGGAGCCACCGCCCCCCACCCCCGCCTCCTTGGCTGCGGGGCGATTTATATTCTTTCCAATTTTGTCCGCGGAGAGCAGAGGCCGGTTTACCAGAGGGCCCTTGGGAACGCTGTGCTCTCCCTTGCCTGCTCCGTGGAGTTCAGGCTTTCCTCCGGGACAGCCGCTGACGGGCAGGGGTTGCTGTTCAGACACCACTTTCACTTCCACCAGAATGCAAGCTCTGAGAGAGCTGGATATGCACATTGTCCACTGAAACCTCATCGTCCCGCCTCAAGTTAATTCTTCAATAAATGTGTTTGATACCGATGCACTTTTATTTTTTTCAAATCAGACAATGTCGCGAGCTAAGTGGCTGCAACCTTAGGATGTCACTCTGAGGTATCTAGAGATCCAACTGTCTCCAACCAGGTGAGTGTGAGGAGGCGGGAAGATGACTGAGCAGCAATGAAGGGTCTCCCACCTGGGAGCCTCCAGCTTGGGGACAGCTGTCTCCATTCAAAGCCTCCTGGTGTGAGGGAGCTGGGTCCTGATTCTGGTTCAGTCACCACATCTTTCCTCTTCTACATCCACAGCCATTTTCCCCCTGGGAATGGGGAGAGGGCCATTTTGTCACCTGCAAAGGAGAATTAAAGGCAATAGCAATGAAAGAACAGAAATAAAAATCTTACTCATTGCTTCCCTCTACTTACTATGAAGGGACAGTTTGGGTCCCAACTGCCACCTCCTCCAGTTTGACGTTTTCAAGTGTGTAGCATGTTGGGCCTTGGGCTTCGATGGAAGCATGCAGTGAGAGGTCGGGGCCCTTCAAGCCCTCCTTCCCCAACTTCTTTCACCTTCTGAACCTTAGGAAAGCAAAGCAAACCTATCACTGAGGTACATACAATTTTACTGCCCTGGGAACAGTATGGGATGTCATGAATGAACTCCACCCTCTAATGTGTTATGGACTCCATCCCCACCAGGTGCCCAGGATTACAACCCCCATCATGCCATGAATCTGCCATGACTCTTGACTTCCTTAAGAGGGGATTGCTGGGAACTAAGGATGGAGTTAAGCAGCCATGTTTGATATAAAAGTGAACACATGTGGGACTAGAGGACAACTTGGTTTTTACTGCCTTTCATGTGCACCAAGGTCCCAGCTCAGGCAGCAGTACCAGAAGGATATACTGACCAATCAGTCTCTCTATATCTCTCTGTCCCTTTCTGCACCCCTCTCTCTTTTCATTTCACTTACAAATAAACCTTTTATTGACCTTTCTATGTGTGCCCGCCCTGGGGTCTTGTTCTGAGTGTTTTTCCTAAGTGCATGGGTGAGGACTACACCCAGGCTATCCTATTTACTTTGGGGTTGCTCTGCAGCAGCCCTCCAGTTCCCTCTACATGCTTACAATGGGCTTCCTAAATCCATCACTGATGATTCCTCATTGCCAGGGTGAGTATTATCCCCAGGAAATTGTGTTTCTTTAAGGTATCAGATGAAATAAATGAAAAATGTTCCAGGTTTTGTCACTTAAATCCTTGGAGCTAATTGAAGAATGGGAAAATGTAATAATAGAGAAGGCTAATAAGAATGTTCTTAGCTTTCTTTTTGTTTGAAATATGAGATTTTATTGGAGTAATTCAATATCCAGTGGAGATTCTGAAGTGACTTGCCAGATATTTGATATGCTTTGGAACTTGTTTCAAAATAAAATGCTATAGCTCACATGTTATATGTATAGATTTATGATAAAGTAACATTACCACTATGCTCCATAGTTTCTCCTCCTCTTTGGCCTTTTTCCAAATAAATAAACAAACAATAAATTCCTAAATAAGGTCATTTAACATTAACAGCATGAACATATTCTTATGAATCACATAGACCAGAAAAGCGAGACTGTTACAGAATTTATCCAAATATTTCTAGGTCAAGGGACTTGTTTCATCTTAGTATTGAAGAAAAGAAAACATGACTTATTGCTATAACTTTATAGCTAGGGTTTGGTATTTATTACTTCACAATGACACAAGTATGTTTTAAAGAGAGAAAAAGATGGAATCAAATAATATTCCATTCAGATAATTGGAAAATGAGACTCATAGCTACTTGAAAAGAAAAAAAGAAAAAATAATGGTCATACAAAGTGTTTGGTTCACCCATGTAATTCCTGTAGCACAAAAAAAGGGGGGGGGCAGTGAGCAGATGATAGTATGAGTAATTCCAGGATGTATGACATTTTGATTATTAAAGAGGAGGTGGATGTCAAATACCTTGTCCACAGAGAATAACATGTTCAAAAATGAGAACATGGGAAGAGAAGCCAAGAATGAAGTAGGTTAAAAGAGAGCTTGGGAAAATATTTTGCATGAGAAAATGCAAGCTTGAACACTTCCCAAAGAGTCAAATGGCAGGGGGAAAGCGTTACAAGAGTCAACCATTAAGGGAATGGACACACCTTAGAGAACCTCACTCACTCTTCTTATCTGAAAACATTGTGGCATAATAAATCTGCACCATATGATGAGTCAAATAATCTAATTTCACTTTCCAAACTGTAAGTGATTTTTCTGCATCTTAGGAAAGACAAATATCTTGGAAAAGCTTGGGTGAGAGCTAGGAACATGGAGCCTAATTAGAACTGAGGTAATTAGCTTAGGTAAGCAAAATATGCTCTTGATATAAGTTTAAAATATGCACAAGTATCTCAGCAAAAACAGACCCAGTAAATTTAAATTGTCTTTTTGACAAATGAGGCAAATTAGGCCCTTGCTTCATTAGCTTGGGCATGTCCTTATAGTTACACTGATCATAATTTTCTATGTTTTAAGGATCTCTGGATAGTGAAATTTGCAGACTGAATAGCAACATCGGGCAAGGTCCACTGTGCAGTGTCCTGCTGGCCAAACCTGTCACCTTTGTCATCAAGTTGTATTCATACTGGACCTGGGAATAGGCTTTGCCACTGAGAAACCAGGGAGAGACAATGAGTACCTAGTTCAGCTGTAAACCAAGGACCATGGCTTGTCTCAAAATCTCTCCTAAGTTGTTAGTATTTGGTTGGATATTTTCAGCTTAGGAAAATGATTTTTTTTTTTAATTTTGCATAGAAGAACTGGGATGTAGGGCAGAGGTGCAGGGGTGGGGGTGAGAGGACTTGCCAGAGACAGAATGGGGAGCAGAAAATGTGGATGGACTGGAACACTCTGCTAAAGGGAGCAGCGGGCAAGACAGGAGATGTCTGCTGCACCATGTAGTTCAACTCCCTAGATTTTGTTTCAATTCACTTTCAAGGATCGGATGTGCATAAAAATAGATAAAAAATTAACTTGATAAATTTTTCATCCAGTTCCTACAGAAATAATGAAACTCGGGTATGCCTTTGGATGTTTCCAGAGAGAAGAGGCAGGGTTCCCGCCAGCTCTGAGTCATCCCTACATCCAAGGATGAATAGGGAATCTGAGAGTTGCTGATTGTTAAGTCAAATGCTGAAAGACCTAATACTGAAATACTATAGTCCAAGACTCAGGCATGATGAATGGAGCGGTGAAAAATGAGAACAGGTTCATTTTTTTCTACACTGTGCATAGATAATACCTTAAACCAACTCATTCGTTGGTTGAGACATTTTTAAAGCTGTCTCATGCATTTATTAAGAATCATAAAGTCACAAAGTCAGAAAATTTGGAGAAGTGTTTCAAAGAAGTCATTTCTTTATTTCATATATGTTCATATAGCATAATTTGGTACTTTTAAAAAAATAATAATTTTGAAAGCTAATTTACATTTTCTTTTCCTTGATCAGTGGTCATTTATCATGATAACTGTTGGGCCTATGATCCTACACATTTCCCCAGAGTACTCTAAATTTAAGCTATAACTATACAATATTACTCTGGCAGTTGTGTCAAAAAAAAAATTCCCATGTATTTCAGGTCAAGATAATATTTGTGGAATATAATTATCTGCATTATTAAAGTTAACATTCAGTATTGTTCTTGATATTTTTTGCATTACAACCTAGCATCAGAATTGTACCTAGAAGCATAAATAAATGTGTTTGTAAAGTATGAGATAGTAAGGTTAATTTGAGACTACTTAAAAACTCCACACTCTATAAAAACAAACAAAAAAAAAAGATGTCTTAAAGTTCAGTCATTATTCAGAGGCTCATTTTTTATCATAGGAAAGACACTTTGGACAATGTGTCTTGCTTCTCAAAAAATACAAAATAGGTTAAACCCAGAGAACATACAGTAATATCAATGTTTATATTGTCTGTTGACATGTGATCCATAAGAATTATTTCCCATCTTGCCTTTCAACTATCTTTGACAAAATGAAGAGTTAGAATGGGCATTGTGATAGAAAAGAATACTATTTTTAAGAGTAATCAAAAAGTATGAACAAGTTTATATACACAAAAAATGCAGTAAATAATTAATAGTAAACATATAGACTCTGGAAATAAATTATCAGACAAAACAGAATGAAAAATTGAAGAAAACAAAGTTGAAGTGACATGAAATTAAAAATTATGGCAACTTTCAATTCCGTAATGGACTAATTTTTCTGAGATCACCAAGAAATTACTTAGGGTTAATATTAACTTATTTAGGGTAATATTATTATCTTGTGTAAACAAGGACTGTTTTAAGAGATCACTCATACAGGAAAATATATTAAATCCAGTATTTAATTAACTTGATTTTTGTGCTATAACTTTGTGGGTCAGTTTGTTTCCAAGAGGGAAGATACCAAAAACAAC